GGGGCTGTATAACGCTTCATGTGACGGAGCCTCTGCTCGATTTCCTGGTAAGAGGGTGGATTTGTGGGGGTAGACCACTCGGCATCAGTGCGAGCGCCACAGATGGCAGATGGAGCTGGGGGCCAACAAAACTGAGGGCCATCGCGCCAACCGTAGTGGAAGATTAGTGATTAAGGTGCCATCCTCTTCGCATATTGTTTTACTTATACCAGATCGAACACCTTCGGTGACTCGAATGAGATGTAAAAGTTTTCTGGTATTACCAGAGAGACTGGCAACCTCCATCTCCCTAGAATGTTCACACCACCAAGCTTCGCGGTCCATTTGCAGACTCCTGTGCAACTCTCGACCCAGGGACTGGCGTTCTTCACTGGGTCTGAGTTTGTCCAACAGCGACAAGGAGATGGCGGAAATCCAATGCTTCAGTGGGTGACAGGCAACTCCACAAATGTCGATACTGGCGGAAACTAAGGCATCTTTGATCTGCACCCACTGTGAATCATGGTCACTGTCAAGAGCTGAGCCAATCAATGTTGACAGTGAGATTTGGTACCTGGTTAAAATCGCAAGTTTTGCAGATTTGCGACGTCCGGTCGGTAGTGAGCGCTCTTGGGTGATCCTCCGGAACGCAACAAAGCTTAGCACGAACCAATGTGTGATGGGAGTCTAGATAGGTTGACGGGTACGATCGGCAGTCCATTACGCATCAGCGCTATCTGTAGCTGATTGCTATGTGGTCAAGCTGGGAGCACTTTTGCGTTTGTGAGGGCGGGCGCCACCGACAGCGTTTCAATAGTACGGGTCAGACATGCTTGTCGTCCGATCTGCATCAAAGTTCGAACATCCAACGCCGCGAGGATGCATGGATAACTAGGTCGAAGAGGAACGGGAGCTTCGGTGGAGTGAGAGACGATTGCGATCGCAGGACAATGAAAACGGGGAGTTTGGTTGTTACTTCCATCAGTTGTGAGACGTGGGTCGTTTGTGACGGTGACCGAAGAAGACATAAGAGTACATATAGGTGAAGGACGGGAGGGTAGTCTGTGAGTGGAGGTTGAGTTAGCAGAGATGATGGGTACAGCACGAGCAGTAGTAAGCAGTGTGGTGCATGATTCATCAGTGGGCGTGATAATAAACGGCTGTCCTGGACGAAGTAGAGGGTTGCCTTAAAGGGCCCCACCCCGAGCCTTTGATCAAAGATCTAACCTACAAATCAGCAGGGCGATGTGAGGGCGTCACCAATCCATTCGGAGCCGGTCGGCAAATAGATGTTTCATGCGTCTTTCGGTCCGTGAATGATCAGGGATCGAACGCATCCTTGAAGTACAATGCCTCTCAAGGAGAGGCAAGGGGTATTGACTTTGTTTAGTGGCAAGTCACATCCGCCACGTCGCACTGTTGTTAAACAGACATTTGCGGCTTCTTATAGGGAGAACGCATACCAAGCGAAAACCCACCACGTCCTGGAACACTGAAACCGAACCATTTGATGGAACGGGAAAAACCCGAACCACCCAGCTGGCACTACGAGGCTGTTCGGCAAGCAAGCCAGGGAGACCCCGAGAGTATTCTCTGCAAGAGCGAGGGCAGAATGTGTTTCCTAGATCGTACTGTGTCACAGGCATGAACCCGTGAGACCGAGCAACATTGACGATGAATGATCCATGTGAGAAATAATTATACACGCGCATGGTATTTGCATGCGTGATCGCTGGACCCTATAGGTGTACCGTGTGAAATGTCAGTCACGAAGACGAGGGACTTAGCGAAAGCCAGATCTAAAGTAGATGATATTTGGTTGTCCATATACCAAGTGGGGAAGTCCACGAACTTGTGTAAAGGCACATGGAGAGTCAACTCAAGAAAGTCTGTCTGACACAGAATTGCAAGAAAGATCAGCCCAACAGATTCTCGGGAGGTTGAAGTCTCCTAGAAGTAAACATTTATTCGCGGACTGAGTGCAAATAAAGTCAAGTATCCCCTGGAAGAATTCCCAGGACTCCTGTATATCACTACAACTGTAAACTGGGTAGAGGAAGTGCACATAACAGCTGATAGGGCTTCAACAGTCTGATCCGACGACTGGAATGTGAAGGTCCTCAACACATCTAAGTTACAGCTCACATACAGTACAACACCTCCGCCTTGGCGATCAACGGAGCGATCAATGCTAAGCAGCGCGTAGCCAGGTAAACATACTTTACGGTCTGTGATATCCGGGGACAACCACGTTTCAGTGAAAGCAAGTATGTCGGGACGAGGTTTTAAACAACACTGTGAGAAGAGGAAGCTGGCAGATGTTAACATTTCGTATTGTCTCGTCAGTGCCAAAACAGGAAAATATAAACATCTACAGCTAGGGTGTGACCGGGTAAAATAGAGACAGAGTTGGGTACAGATATGCTACCTCTATATCCATGGGAGCCTTAAGCTTATGAACAACTATTTTTGCATGCAGAGTGCCGGTTTGATCCTGCTGGTCACGACAGCCTCGGCGAAATGTAGGATGCGGCTGTTAGCATGTCTCAACAAGATTGTGAACCGTGTGATAGGGTCGAATGGATGACAAGTAGACAATAAATGTGGATGAGGCAGGCGGCTTTCGTGAACAGGTGGTAGACGAAGTGCAGGACTAGATAATTTCATGCTGCACCCACTTAGGTACATGTTCCCTTACTATGGAATTCAACATTCTGTCAGTACAGCCTATGTAGCGTGAGTCGTAGCTACAAGTGAATTGGTAAATGCAGTGTGAAATGGCGCCGAAAGGTCGTCATTCCTTCGTTGGGGGAACAGGCACATTGTTGGTTCGGTTAAAAAGGACAGGCTCGGCAGCGTGATAAGTCCTGTGAACAGCGGAAATTAATCGCTTGATTGTCATCATGGACGTGATTTGTCTACAAGTAGACCCAACTCGTGCACCTTGTTCCTTAGGCTACGCACGTTGCTAAGTGCTACCGCAGGGAAGTCGGCACGACCATCCATGGGTGAGGATGGGTTCTGATAGGGCGGAAAATAATTGCCGGCTGACCACCTGAAAACCCATCAGACGGAGGCCCTGCTCACCAACCGCCCGTCTAGTTTTGAGGTCTTTGATAGCCTCCTACAACTTCAATCCATCTGACAATGGAAGTTCTGGCTGAATGCTGACACCGCTACCTTAAGTTTGAATGCAAACCGCAATAATGCTTTGTGTTACTCCGTGGTAAAAAGGACAACGCGAAGTAGTCGGGGTCGCGGATTTGCCGTACCGATGTAGACGTTCCCCATTCTGGTCAGCTTTCTGACAGTGACACCAGGTGGAAGCAGCTTGGCGACACACAGTTTGAGCCACTTGATATCATCCAAAATGCGTTTCCTTGGGAGCGTAGCCGCTGATTCAGTAATGTTACGGAATATAACGCTACTATCCGTGAAAGATTCGCCACGACGAAGAGTGTTTACCCCACGTGCCTTGGATTCGACACTTAGACCAGATATTTTCACCAATGGCGGTGGGACTGTCCCTGTCTCCGCAAAAGACATCGAAGTAACGATAGCGTAGGTTTTCCGCTATATTTCCGATGTCTTACTTTTTCATAAGTCTACAAGCCACTTCGAAATTTTACGGGCAAATCTAGTCCGCTTCTTCTTATGACTCACGGGATCAAGAACCGTTGGCCTTGTGTCGCATTAAGCAGTTACCAACATGTCGTCAGAACAGGTTGCTTCAGGGGCAGCCGAAACGGCTTCCGCCTAACGAGCGTCCAGCTGCTTGTACCGGTAAGCAAACCAGAGTCCCAGGCAGATCAAGTTCCCAGAACGGTATAGACTTCTGCCTAACGAGCGTCCTGCTTTTTGCACTGGCAAGCAACCAAGGGCCCCCGGTACCTCGACTTTTGATCGCCTGTCCTTGCTTCTGAAAAAGGAATGAAGCAAAAACAAGAGAAATCCTTGTATTTTCATGTATGTAGTATCAATGCTGCTAAATTTGAATGATATTACATTAACTCCGGAAAAAGCGATCAAAGTATTGTCTGTGACGATTGCCTGGTACAGCTGTACCAGACTAGTCCTTCGGTAGTTTATGGAACCATTTACGCGGAAGTCTACTATCACTACGTAGGGTCCAGATCGAGATGTACAGGCCGGTGTAAGGGTCGATAAAACGTTTCGCTGAGTTGCTCGTATCGAATGAGATGTGTCATGAGTGTGGGATCTTTCTTCCTCAACTGGATGGTAGCAATGAGCACAAGACCCTATTTCTGTAGCGGCAATTGTTCTGATAGCGATCTTATAAACGGTAAGCCTGCAGTTAGTACTACACTTCTTGAGTTAGAAACAGGTTCCACATAGAATGCCGTATGTTTTTATGAGTGCATCATCTTCAGATGTGTAAGATATTATTTCAGGACAGAGTTACTAATGAGCTAGTCATTGTGATTAGTAAGGTGTCAGCCGAAGCAATCAGTCGGTTGATCAGAGAACAATTCAAACACCAGGTGAGCACACCATGGGTCTGCAACGGAGTGTGCGATTGTAGTCCACCGGATCGGGCATGGGCTGCACCGCACGCCGTAAGGAAGCACGTAATTTGTGCTCTTTGATCGCTTTTGCCGGTTTGATAGGGCTGCCAAAAGTTTATTGGTTGGGCGGAACCCTCAAGACAATCCAGGGCTCGAGACAGAGAACCATGAAGGAAGCGACTGCGCCGGAAAACCTCGCCTGACTGAATGTCAACAACCGATCTCATCAAGCTAGCGTTCACGGACAATCAGTCGGTGTGGTAGTAGAGCCAGTACGCTTTAGTAGTGACTCCGTCTCTTTTCCAAGTGTTCGGCACTCGGGTACAAGTGCCATCTCAAAGCACAGTTACAAGGCTGTATTGCACTTGCTTCTGTCTGCGAAGAACTGCTATTAATTAGCGCTTTAACGATGAAGTGGCCCTCACAAGATGAATCACTGCGCTAGGGTACGCACCAATGTTGAAAACGAAAAAGACATGCAAGGTAAGTAATGGTTTAATCAAAATAATCACTCAAATCAATATTGGGGTCTAACAACGAATCCTCCAGATGAGTCAGATCTATTTGATTTACAATTAGGTTTTCAAAGGTTTCCTCCAAATCGGTGTCTCCGATGAGAAGAGCGCCTTGCATTCGTCCCGAACGCATCACGCATTTGACATACTCCTGATTCGGAGTGACTCGTATTAGGAGATAGCATTCGGGAGAAGTTAGATCTAGTCCCTGCCCGTTATACAGTCCAAGGAGAACCACCTGTAAACAATAATGATGCAGCTTAAGAAAAACATATCAGATACGCAAGCTGAACAGATTAGGAAATTTCAGTTGCAGAGCATAATAGTAATCCACAGCGAGTCTCTTCGCAGTGTAGCCCATGTGGAACAGTGTGACCAAAGAGCAGGTGGACCAATTGTGCGTCGTTATTCGCGATACAAGCGCAAGGACAGTTAGTTCACTTTGCAGGCCTTCCCGCAGTACTCCAGCTGTGAGGGCAGGTGTGGGTCTCGGAAAGCGCACCAGAAGTGAGTTAGAAGGATTGGTCATACACGTACATAAGGACCCATGCAGTAATGAATCTATCACAGTACTTAGATAGTTAACCGAAATGTGGTAGCATGTATGATACTCTTAACATGCGTCGCAATCCGTTTTCGCGGAATAAGTGTTCTGACCAATTTTGGTCACGGGTGTGCTCAATTTTCGATATCACAATCCCATCAGCGAGATTTAGACAGCAGTTTAGAAAATAACCACGCCTGCAGCATTGCAGCGTCGATGTTCGTGCAAAATGCAATGAATGCATGAAACTGATCCATAGGAAAATGGACTGTATGGACGTCTGCCAAAAAGGTGCCGTAATGAAGTGACAATTATGAACGTCTGAGATGGATAGTAACCAATTAACATATAAGTGCAGCATAGAAGCATCACAGCCCTCAAGAGGGTGTAGATATGGTCACCGGATCAGAAGTGTTATCTACCAAGAAGCACGGTTGTATGCGGGCCAGAAGCCACCTGGCTGGCTACACATATTCGCAGATGGTCGATGAATACGGGAAATGGGACTCGAGAGCAATGGGATGCTAGCCTGGAGCAGTAATCGCAAAAGCGTGTGCAAACAAAGTTGGAAAAGTAAGAAGGCACAAAGGTAGTAAGTAGCATAGCTCCTAATCATGCCTATCCAAAGTGAACGAATATCAACTGGTAAAGAACAACAGGTCAAGGAATTTGTGGTAAATTAGTTCAGTGTTCACCATTACACTGTCTGAAGCGCAGAACTAAGTGTAACGCCAATGTGACAAGCATAGCCCAATGTGAACGAGCGATAAGGATAGGAGAATCATAAGCATCAATTGGACGGTGAAGTGAAGCAAATAAACCAGATGTCGTATCAGAATTGTCATCTCTACTAAGTTGTCAGTTTTTCAGAGAAGCTCAACGCGTACCCTACCTATGGATGAAAACGGCACAGGCAACATTCGCTGGAGCGCATAGCCAACCTTCAAACACCGATACCAAACTAATTGAAGTGTTATATGAACAAGGTTGGATGCTCGAACAATCGCTTTGTGATGCCAGCTGAGTGACACTGGGTTATGACTTTCCAATAAGTAGTTCCGCGCTGGTGTTCCAGGACGTGACGGTTTCCCGTCTGGCAAGCGTCTTTTCTACGTAAATGTCCGTTTGACAATACTGTGATGTGGTGGATGTGACTCATGACTAAGTAAATTCACTGTTCGTCGTTTCATCACGGTGGAGCACTGCAGTCCAGCGGATAGATGCCGATATCAGGGGATGCGCTGGATCCCCATTTTGCAACTAACCAAACTAAAGAGGTGGGGAACCGAAAAATCAGTCACGGATTCTCACATGGGCGCGATTCCGCAGGGCTATCTAGTGGATAGGCTAATCTGCCAAAAGCTCGGAGTGGTGTCCCCCAAGTCAACTCCTACTTCGGTTTTGACAATCTACCAGTGCACACGCTCTGATTTAACCATGCCATTTCAGCGCTAAAGAAGACGATCACATGTCCAATGGCTGATATCCTAGCTGTATGGTAGAAGGACAATGCGCAAAAAGTCGGTCAACATTTTCATAATAATACAAAGCTTATCGGACATTGTGAGAAGTTGAACCACCTGGTTACTGTCACTAAAATAAGCGATCCCTCCGGTATTTAGTCAGTAAGTCATGCTATATGCCACGGTGGTCATTTATGCATGGGCTCGAATTTATACGACCCCAGTCGATGATTTGAGGGATACAGTCGCAAAAAAAATGAATTGCGCGTAAACGCAGTAGGGGCAAGTGCAGAGCAGTGGGACAACATGGAAGCGTAAACTAACCTTAAAACCAAAAAAGTACGTTACGTGTGTAAACAGCTCAAAGGAAAAATCCAGAGGAACCACCGGCTCTCCTTGACTATGGCCGAACATACATTTTGCAGCCTGAATTGCAAGACGAAAAGAACACTAGTCAAAAAATGGACAAAACTAAAAGGATTGACACCCATTGCAAAGAAAACCAGAGATATGGCTTCGCGCATATATTCACAGAAGGGGAAGCGGAGAGGTGGCAAAAACCAGCGGAAGAATGAATAAAACAATCACGATATGATGTGAATATTACCAGTTCTTGTTCGATGCATACCGGAATGGATGTCACTCGATGATGGAATCACATACATCGTCCTATGCAAACGACGGATAAATTTCGACGAGCAAGTAACAAGCAGAATACCAAGTCCCGGCAGTCTGAACACAACCTCCGTAGTGAAAAACGCGTAAACGGTGGGAGTCGAGCGCATTTCTCCCACATGCGATGGACAAGTGGTCACCTAAACCAAAGCATCGGATAACGTGCTGACAAATTCTACAATAGACTCACACATAGATGGGAGGTCGAGCTTTTTCTGTAAGATTGATGGGGGTCAATACAAGAGTGACATGCGGCTAGGAAACGAAAGCGAATCAAGTTAGGTAGACAAAGGTAGATGCAATACCCCGCTGCTTAGGGCTTACGGCTAGTTTGTCGGTGGTAATCCTAATATCGTGATTGACTAGAGCTATGTCGGGAAAGTTGTAAGCAGAGAACTTTGTGCGATCCGTGGAGAGAAGAGGACGCATGTCAACAGCAGTGATTGTATGATGTTGTTCCGTGATATTAGCCTTTTCAGTTGAATCTTTTTATTGGTACTAAGTAGCATAAATGGCCGGCCGCAGGAAGGATGTCACGCTGCCCTTATAAAGACGGGTTCACAGTAGTTTGAGAAGCCCAATCCTGATGTCTCCAAACTGCTGCCAGATGGGATCAGCACAATTTAGGTCAGTTGTCGGAAATGGAATGATGTACAGAGGCGTAAAGTCGACTGCTGAATATTCAAGGCGAGCGCACTGAGTAATAGTCTAATTTTGAAGTCGCACTCATGTATTTCTGGACTTCGTTCCTATAAAAGTATGCAATATGTCGACGACCTGTGGCTAACAAGTCAGAAAAGTCAGGGACCGAACACAGGTACCAGTCCTTCAGTAGAATATGTACCGCAACGGCGAATAACCGTTCCTGAGTAACACCGAAGAAGGTAAAAGGTGCATCACCCTTGCACAACTTATGTCGAAAGAGCACACAGTGAGCCTTCGGTAAGAGGACAAAATTCACACGGTGGCACTTTGAGTGAGCGGCAGTAATTCACCTTATGGTATGAAAAACCGAAAATAAAAAATCGTTTAAAAGAGGTAAAAACAGAAAAAGAGAGCACAAGAAAAGTTGATTTCCACGAATAGGACAAACCTGAAAGCCCATTTGACGTGCCTGACTCCAAAGGCGCATTTGGAACCAATGCGGGGCCCAAGCCCAATTGGCGTAAGAACAATCCCCTGCGGCATACACATTGGGAACGTCTGATTGCATCTGATCATCTACGAGAACGCCACCGCCATCGGAAGGGGATGCTAGAGAGAAGGGCGCACCGAAAAATTGGTCGGTAGTCACAGCAACAGCAGAGCGATTCGGCTGGAAGCTAGCCTCCACTCCAACTGCGCTAACGACTAAGTCACAGCCATACACATCGTTATTTGTGAGCTCAACATATACAGGCCAAGGTGCCTCATCGGATGAGTTGGACGAAATCGCGGGAAACGGATTGACCACGTGGAGGTTCTCCGCTTTCACCACCGAATGATCTAAAATGCGCCGCACTTGCACCTGATAGACAACCTGTAGAATAATGCGTAGAAAATTTGATGGAATGGTCGCCACCACAATAAAAGCGTCAGTGCACGCTGGAAAATTTACGCCCCTAAACTTGCAGTCTCATCTTGCACCGGTAGGCATAAACGACATAAGACAAATTTGTGAGATTGATGTGTTTCCAAGGTAGATGGAAATCAAGAATCTGAAAGTGCAATACTTTAACTTGAGGATACATAGTGAGGGAGCAAGATGCCTTTACAGAAAGTTACCCGATCAAGCTGGCTCCATTGTCCTAGACTATGCATAACCCTGACAATCCATAGCAAGGTCGGCTGAACACAATGGCAGAAAGAATGAACAGTAAAACGGAAATATCTATACCATT